ATTTTTGGGACAGAGAGAGACAGAGCATGAACGGGTGAGGGGCAGAGAGAGAGGGAGACACAGAATCGGAAACAGGCTCCAGGCTCTGAGCCATCAGCCCAGAGCCTGACGCGGGGCTCGAACTCACGGACCGCGAGATCGTGACCTGGCTGAAGTCGGACGCTTAACCGACTGCACCACCCAGGCGCCTCAGTGCCTCCACCTTTAAAGCCACTATGATAATACGGTATGCCACAAGCAGTGCAAACAGACCAAGAGCATGGAGTCAACTATATTCCCCATGTATTGTGACAAAACTTATCAAAATAGAATTTAAATATGTGCATTTTATTGTTTCCCTGTCATACCTCAATAACACGTTAAGTTTTTAAAGTTCCAAACGAAAAAGCACAAAATAAAAAATCTGTAGCATCTTGATTTTACATGTATTCCTAGGTGCTAGATGCAGAGTATACATATGCAGAAAAACTACAGTCTCAACTATGAGGAACAGAAGGCACAACATAGATGTTCTTACACGCGCATATTAAACAGTCACGGAGTAGTCACTCTTGTGAATGGGGCCCTCTCATGTTAATTAATCCTCACAACCCTATGGGTAGGTATAACTATTACTGCCGTTTTAGAGATGACACAACAGAGAGAGGTTAAGTAACTAGACCAAAGGTACAAAACTAAAAAGTAACAGGTCAGAATTTAAATCCAGGCTCTATCACTTGATGTGCTCGCCTGTTCGAGCTGCCATAACACAATACCACAGACGGGGTGGTATGGCTTTTCTCACAGTTCTAGAGACTACGAATTCTAAGACTAAGGTGGGGACACGTTTGGCTTCTCCTGAGGCCTCTGTAACTTGGCTTGCAGATGGCCTCTTTCTTACTATGTCCTCACCGGCCTTTGCCTCTGTGTGAACACATCCCCAGCGTCTCTTTTTCTTCAAGGAACCCAGTCATATTGAATTAGGGCCCACCCTAATGGCCGCATTTAATCATGTCTTTAAAGACTTTATCTCCAAGTCCACTTGCATCCAGAGCCACTGAGGGTTGGAGTTTCAACATAGGAATTTTGGCAGAACGCAATTCAACCCATACTGCCTGATGACGGTGTAACCTCAAAATTACTGGATCTCCCTAAGGCCTGTTTCTTCAAGTGTCCAATAGTGCTAATGAGAATCCAAGGAGATAATTCATGTGAAATGCTTAGCAGTGTCTGGCACATCATTTTACAGATGAGAACAAAACTCAAGAGACGGTGATTTGCCCTGTTTTCAGCTCTAAAGTGGAGTTCTTACCCTATAGAACCCTACTTTCCTGTACAAGCAAATGCATAATCCAGCAGAATTTTATATAATTTATAAAATTTTTGTATCTCTTACTTCTTGCTTTCTCATGGTACTTTTCTTACTTTATTATAAACAAGGGAATAAGTTAAAACTTCATTAGGGAATTATTTCGTTAGTAAAGTATACTACACTTTCCTGGAACCATATAGGACTTTCATTCATCGTCTCTCCTAATTTACAAAGACAGTTAGCTATAGTCACAGTGATGATACCTCAGAAGATCAATATTTACTTTTAACTATTAAGAAAGAAAAGCAACTCAATGCTTTTTTAAAAAAAATTAAGATTGTACTTTATGTTTGCCTGGTACTCTACATATTATATCCATTTAATCCTCAACACAATCTTAGGATCTTGTTTTATTGAGCTCTCCTAACAAGCACGTGAGGAAGGTATTATTCCCATTTTATAGCTGAGGGAACAGGAGGAGCACAGCAAGCTTCAATGTTTTTCTTTAAGGTCACAGAGGTTCACAATGACAGGCAGAACCAGAACTCTTACTGACATCTTTGAGTCTAAGACCAAGGTTCTCTATTTCAGGCCACTATCTGCCTTGGCAAGTGCAGTAGCTAGTTTTCTCATTTCCCATGCTCTACACAAACAGAGCAGGTGCTCAGCAAATAAGGCAGTCTGATTTGGGGCAATCTAGACTAAGCTGTAAAAAATCTTTGACGTCCTTTATATGGGCCAAGTTTCCTGACAACTCTGACCACCACCAATCCCTTGGACTAATAGCTCTTTTAAGGAACCAACCAGGGGGCGTCTGGGTGGCGCAGTCGGTTGGGCGTCCGACTTCAGCCAGGTCACGATCTCGCGGTCCGTGAGTTCGAGCCCCGCGTCGGGCTCTGGGCTGATGGCTCGGAGCCTGGAGCCTGTTTCCGATTGTGTCTCCCTCTCTCTCTGCCCCTCCCCCGTTCATGCTCTGTCTCTCTCTGTCCCAAAAATAAATAAAAACGTTGAAAAAAAAAATTTAAAAAAAAAAAAAAAAAAAAGGAACCAACCAGTCTCCTTCTTCCCCAATATTTAGCTCACTGAGTGCTCATTAAAGTTCAACAGGTATCTGAGAAATGAGAGTTCAAGCAAACTGTTGTGTAATTGAATCTTGCACATTCTTCCTTTAGTGACGACAAAGGGCACTTTTCAGCCACAACTATATAAAAACATCAACAAAAAGAAACATTAAAAACCTCTCTGTTGGGGCACCTGGATGACTCGGTTAAGCGTCTGACTCTTGATTTCAGCTCAGGTCATGATCTCATGCTTCATGAGCTTGAGCCCCAGGTCAAGCTCCACGCTGACAGTGCAAAACCTTCTTGGGATTCTCTCTTGCGCCCGCCCTCCCTCCCTCCCTTCCTCCCTCCCTCTCTCTCTCTCACAAAATAAATAAACAAACAAAAAACCTCTCTCACAGTCTATAACAGAGAAGCCTCCAGGGTTTTTCCAGGCCCGCAATTCAAAGATTCCACTGCAGTCTACTCCTAACAGTGGTTGAACTGACCACACCTTGAACACCAATTACAGGCACAGTGCAATTGGAATCACCAGTGAAGAACCACACCATGGTGTTTTTAGTCTACAGCATGCTCTCAGGGAAAACAATTTGGCATATGTGACAGGGAAGTCCACGATTCCCAGAGGGAATTGCAATGGATGATAAGGTCAATCTGAGTCAGAGTGGAACTGCTGTTCATCAAGGCCCCTATGCTGTAAAAGGGAGCTATATTAAGAGGTATCATGACAACTTTTATTTTCTCAAGAATATACTGGTGTGTGGATTTTTTTTTTTTTAGCTTCAAGTTTGTTTTGCCATGGCAGCCCAGGCAAGTTTTGCCTGTGCCATGGAAACTATCTGACCACTTCTGAGCTGCTCTGGATACAGGGAAGGGAGGTGGGCAGAGCTGGCCAGAGTGGTGTCCTAAACTCCGCTTCAAGCTCTCTTTCAACTTCAGAGACTTGTGATTGTCCACTTTTTCACCTCTGTTGCTTCTGTGTACCCTGTCGTGAACTATCACCTCCCTGGCTACCAATTTCACAGAGCTTTTATAAGCAGATTAAAAAAAAAAAACTGAGGTCCCAGAACAAAAGCATTCAATGAAGAATTGAAAGGATAAGTATTGCCAGCATTACATTTGCTGTCTGAATTCATCTTTTCAAAGCACTCTTAGATCTGAGGCAGCAAATTTACTAGAAAACTAAAGAGATATTCCAGGTTTCCTCTTCTAAATCAAGGTATCTCACAAATACTTTTTCCTGACATCTAAAGAGAGAAGAAATCTCAGAGGGAAATGAAGAGGCATACAAATAGAAAACTCTATAAATGGCCAAACTAAAATACTAATCTATCCACTTATAACTGCAATTAACATTTATTAAATACATGCAATATACAAAAGGTACTGAACTAAATGCTGTAAGGACACAGAATCATTTAAGAAATGTCTGCTCATCTTCCTGTAGTGCATCTGTACCATAAGATGAAACTTGTTTAGAAAAGGTTTCAGGTTTCCCTAGGACATGGAAGAACAAAACTTTTTCTCTATTATGACTTCTGGCCTCACAGAAAAATTTTAGAACACACTAGGGGGAGAAAACTCTTATCTGTTAGTTTCCACTGACAAGCGGCAGCATTCTCAAGAGTTACATGGCTACAGAATGACTATAACTTCCATAATAACCTAATTAAATCTGACACACACATGACATGGGGGGAGAAGGAAACTCACGTGCTCTTCAATTTCAGTAAGAAAATTTGAAACGTACCGACAAGGAAAGCAGGAGGAAGATCAAGATCATGTGGTTTGGAAAGAAGATCAAGAACGATAGGGCAAAAATATTCCAAATAACAGCAAGTCACTTGGGATTGCTTGAATGCCCTGCCATATTAAATCACATATGGCTACAAAATGAAAGGAAAAGCTAAGGCCTATCTCACGCCTCACTTATGCTACTGATTGAGTTTGAGAAAGAAAATTAAGACAATCTTTTCAAGTTACTCAATCAAAAGCAAAACTGTAGGCTGGCCATTTAAGGGAATAAGCTCATTAGGTGGGGTAAAACACTCGTCTAGCAATTAGTGTCCTTACCCAATTAATTTACAACAGGAAGCCCTAAATTTCCTTAAATTTATCAGTATTGGTTTGCTAGAACTGATTGTTCCAATATATAAATTCTTTGTGTTTACTTTTCCCTCTGGATTTATGGGCTCAACTGTTCTCAAAACAGAACTTTTTAATATCTGCTTCTTTCACTTTTAATATTCTACTTTCCCAAGCCACAGAACTGATGTTCTTCAACAAATGAAGTAAAATGCCGAGAATCAACTCTCCTATCAAGGAATGGGGGAATAAAGAAGGGTTTATACCCTCAGGCAAACAGAAACACCCTTACAATAAGGTCGAGATGACATTAAGGAAATATACAGCACATCAAATGAAATTTTGTAGTAGTTACAGTTCTAATCCAGCTGAACCACCTTTTAGGGCAGCCAATCATGAGCAAGATTGCTGTATTTGGAATTAAGACAGCAAGAATAGACAGCCTCTCCACAGAATTAGAAAATGACACTCAGCCAGCTCTATGTCCTGTGGTATAATTTCACATGCAGCACACCAACAATTCTTGGTTATTCTTTTTTTTAATGAAAAGTAGATTGACTTACATGGCTCTCTGGCAATGAACTGAGGTACAGTGTTGGGCAGAGGAGTACTGGGGTTTGGAGTCCCTACTAGTTTGTTCTTGGCCATCTTCGTGTTTGCCTTAGCAAACTCTAGTCGTAGTGTTTGCGGAATTTCAGGATCGAAGCGGATGCCCTTTGGAAATAAAGAACAAATGGAAGATGTTTTCATTTCCTTAGAGTCAAACCGGAATGGTGACAAAATAAACACACCAGTAAACCCTGGCCTATCAGGAAAAAAAGGTCAGCAAGAACTCATTCTCACTACTTACACATAATATGTGAAAATCTGTAATACAACATGTCTAGAAAGTCAGGGGAGATTTTGTTTACTTAATTCAAAAATTTAGTTACATGTTTTTTCAACTATTTCTTCTTGAACAAAAACCTTCAGGATCAAGTTTTTGGTTTTTTTTTTCTTCTCCTTAAAGTTTGTTTATTTTTGAGAGAGAGAGAGAGAGAGAGAACGAACACAAGCAGGGGAGAACCAGAGAGAGGGAGACAGAGGATCCAAAGCAGGGTCTGCACTGCCAGCACAGAGCTCAACGCGAGGCTCGAACTCACGAACCATGAGATCATGACCTGAGCTGAAGTCAGATGTTGTTAACTGACTGAGCCACCCAGGCGCCCCCAGATTCGAGTTCTAAATATGGACCAGCAAATTCCTAGTAGAGTTAAAAACCTCAATTAATGGCTACCAATAAGAATAATTAACGTAAAGCTCTGTACAGTACTGGAAATCACGGAGACCCAGGCCCTGACAAGTGTTCTGATACTGATGTAAAACAGTATTATCCTTCAATGCCTTAGTTTAATCACCTATAAATAAAGAAAAGTCCCCTCCCTTTCTAACTAGAGGGCTTTCATAATGGTGATACATGTAGTACTGAGTTATTAAAACAGAAACTGAGATTAAAGATTTCAATGTAACTAGTATCATTTAATTCGTTAGCTAATAAATTTACATAAAGCCTTACTGTCTTGAGGTGGTAACGTCCCAGTTTTGATTATAGCTGGCTTACTAGCTACATGGCTAGAGACAACAGATTATATGGGCCAAAGAGAGGGTAGTAATTTCAATTACCCTTGACCCTATTATTACAGTTAACCTAAAACAAAACATTCAATAAATCACAAACATTATAAAACACAAGATTTAGAGCAAGATAAATCTCTTTTGAAACCCTCCTACCATTCAAGAATGCCTCTGTTACTAATCATAATATTCTCCTATCTATTTTCCAGTGCTATGCATTCTGGATCCCAACAACAGTAACAAAAAGATATCCCAGTATAGTATATAAATGTGCGTCCAAAACAGGCTCAGGTCCCACATCTGTCTGCATGGTATGCCCTGGAAAGGGGGTGGATTTCTGAAAATGAGTATCCTAAGAACACAGGTTTTCCATTCAGTGTACATGTGAGCTTGTGGGTCCCAAAGGCCCCTTTCTACATAATTAGCTTGAAAAAAAAGCAATTTCCACAAGAATTTAGTAAGAATCTTTGACTGTAGACCAGGATGAACAACTCTGAGCTTTACAGGTTCAGCTCCAAAGATGAGACAAAGAGCCTGTGACTGGACAGTTAACTGCAGTAAGAGAAATAAGGGGGGAGGAAGAAAGAGAGCTCCTCAGGGAGATACAACAAAAGCCACAGAGCCCTGACCTACAGACATCCTGGAGTGGGTGGAATTTCTTTGTGAGCCTGATTTGTCCATTCTCTGAGAAGAAACCAACTGAAGGTAGCAACAGGGGTGGGCGGGAAGAGAAGGAATCCACTCTGTACAGCCCTAACCAACAACAAAAAGCAAAAAGGGGGGTGCCAGTTGTAAGAAAGGTAAAAAGAAATTCTTTCCCTAACTGTTCTGTTTTTATTTCATTTTAACTTAGGAAACCTCAGTATTATCTTGCCAAACACATAAATGAGGAAAAAGAGTAAGGCCACATTCTGAAGCAGAGTTTGCTTTCATCCGCTTCCACGTAAGAGCATTTCACTCTATCAAAGCTAGTATCACAACAGAATAAATATTTCCAAATATGGACCCAAAGAGCTGTGGTCTTTGCTGAGAGACAAGTGCAGTCCCTGGCTAACGGTATGCTGTGCCTATTTACACAACACCCCATCAGCTACACATAGTAGCAATCTGCCAATCTGCCATCAATTTCAGGGTGTCCTCCCTGGCACTCCACTCCACCAACCTTCCTGCGAAGAAGGATTTTTTTTTTTTAAAGCCGACTTTTATTGTACTTGCTGCTTCCCGAAGAAGGAACTTTCCTAAACCTGAGCACTGTGGTCCAGGCCATTGTAGCACGAGAAGAGCATCCTGGGATCTCTCAGTGGTCCTCTGGAACTTCTAGCCTCAGATAATGAGGCTGCACATCTGAATTCCATGCCTCAGCTCTTCCACTGGTGCTCCAGAGTCAACAGAGGCTCTGCACAATATGCTTGCCTTTTACACCGCTTGGACTGATGGCTCGTGTCCTAAAACATGCTGAATTAAGCCTCCCCAACTCCCTCTTCATATCCCTCCTCTCTGTGAGCTAAAATAACACCACCATCATGTTCCAAATCAAAGTTCCAGCTCCTTATTTAAAAAAAAAAAAAAAAAAAAAAAAAGGCAAGCTCAGAAGTTAAAATGACCTAATTTGTTTGGCAGCTTATTCAGAGGCCGGAGGCTTAGAATACAAGCCACATTCCTCTAACATCTTTAGCAGCAATACCATATTTGGTAATCAATATCCTGCTCGGCTCAGTTTCTATCCAGAGGGATCAGCCAAGCCAAAAACATTTTAAATGTTAAAGGATGATGGGGGGTTGTGGGGGTGGGCAGGGGTAGGGAGAGCATGGAAATAGAAGGAAACAGGGGAGAAAGATAAAAAAAGAAGATAGGGGCGCCTGGGTGGCGCAGTCGGTTAAGCGACCGACTTCAGCCAGGTCACGATCTCGCGGTCCGTGAGTTCGAGCCCCGCGTCGGGCTCTGGGCTGATGGCTCGGAGCCTGGAGCCTGTTTCCGATTCTGTGTCTCCCCCTCTCTCTGCCCCTCCCCTGTTCATGCTCTGTCTCTCTCTGTCCCAAAAAATAAATAAATGTTAAAAAAAAAAAAAAAAAAAAAAAGAAGAAGAAGATAGATAGATAAGGAGACCTGAAAAAATAAAAACACCTTGTGCTTTTAATTAAAGCCTAATAAGATTATTCTCTGGCCAGAGTGATTTCACATTAAATGCTGTAGGTGAAGATTACTGCCAAGTCAAGAGGGGACTCTGTGCCTTTCAAAATCAACTTTTTCCTTTCTTGCCTATAATCTGCCAAAACTCTTCTCATAACAAAGAGAAATCTTCTTCTTACACCTGTAAATGGTATCTTATTTACATGGTCACCAGAAGGGAGAGTTTCTGGGTATCAATATGATATCAATTTGAGAATAAAGCTACTCAGAAGCCACCCAATCTGATGGACTACACGGACAGCCAACAATCCCTTCAAGGACGGTGACCAAACCAACCCAGGTTCACCATGAACTACAAAGGTTGAAATCCCTACCTAGGAGGTACAAAGACAGTGCTGACAAATAACGTATCCTTAATAGTCTCGTATTCTTAAGAGTCTACCAGGGCAGTTTCAAATCCTATACTGTGGTGTCCCGGACTGAATGCTGAGGTCCTGCCAGGATTCATATATTGAGGCCCTAACCCCCAATGTGATGGTATTGGGAAGTAGGGTCTTGGGAGGTAATTAAGTTTAGAGAAGATCTTAAGAGTGGGCCCCTAAGATGGGGTCAGTAGTATACCCTTAGAAGAGGAGGAAGATACACCAGAGATGTCTCCAAAAGCACACACCAAATAAAGGCCACACAAGTACACAGTGAGGACTACAACCAAGGAAGAGGATTCTCACCAGATACAGAATCTGCTGGTTAACATGATCTTGGATGTTCTAGCCTCCAGAACTGAGAGAATTAAATGTCTGTTGTTTAAACCATCCCAGTCTATGGTATTTTGTTATGGCAGCCCCAGCTAGTCTTGCTAACATGCTAACAGTTTTCTTTCCTGTGCCATAGTTTCTAAAATATTTCACAGTATTCTTTCTTAACATTCTGTGGCCTCATATAGATAAATTTCCCCTTTCCCATCAGCCAATCTCCAATTCCACCTTTTCCATCACCACAGGTCACTCAACCCACAGGAACAGTCTTCTTCAACTGGTGTATGGCCTGGTATTTGATCACTAGAAGTCCTAAGAATTCAATCTCAAAAGCTACAGAGAGCAATTAGTAACTCCTAAAGAAAATTCAGATTCTGCATTTACACACTGTAATGCTTTAAATTCAAACTCAGTTATTGCATTCAGGAATTGAAGGAATTATTTTAAAATACCCTTTCTCTTTCTCTTAAATGTAAATGAAACCTAACTATTTGTAAACAAAAGTTAAAAGATTTTTCTGAATTGTGGGCTGAAATCTCCCAATGCAAATTTGTGTTCCCTATTTAAATTGGATTAAGATTATAAGCAAATCAGAGAGCTTAAAAATGCCATTTATTGCTCAAAAACTCTATCAAAGCTCATAATCCTAAAAGGATAAGGAAAAGGCTAGTATATAATACACAGAAGGAAATGGGCAAGGTGAAGTTACCAAATCCTGAAGACTCAAGCCTCTAGGGATAAAGAGAGTCACTGTTAAGTGAATTTCTAGGTCTTCCAGTGACTTGAAGACGAAATGGAGAAAATACTAATTGAATATGCACAAAGCCCACATCCTAAGTAGCTCCCCTATTTCTCTAGCTATTGTGATACTGGCTTCTTGTGTATACTGCCTGGTACTGGAATGATTTATTGGCTGCAAATCATGGATTTGGGACCATATAGGTACAACATCTTCCAACTCCTTAGTACTGTCACTGGTCTTGGACTAACGTTATCCCACATGAGTGAGGATAAAGGTTAGGAGTTTAGGGGCGTGTGGGTGGCTCAGTCAGTTAAGTGTCTTACTCTTGGTTTCAGCTCAGGTCATGATCTCACAGTTCGTGAGTTCAAGCACTGCAGCGGGCTCTGTGCTAACAGTGCAGACAGAGCCTGCTTGGGATTCTCTCTCTCCTCTTCAGCCCTCCACCTCTCAAACTAATAAACGTTAATTTAAAA